TTGCCAGCCTTGCTGAATTGCTTCTTGAACTGAGCCATGCTCTTCGGGGATGGCTTCTTCATACTCTTCATAGGCTTTGAGGGCTTCGAAGAGCAACTGCCGGCACTGGTTCCGCGTTTTGCCTTCACCTTTTTCATTGCCACTGACTTCATGGCAAGCTTCTTAGCAAAAGAGCTTTGCTTTGGCATGGTTCTACGATCCTACTCGAAAGAACTACAGCAAGAACAACGCACGATCTCAATCCAGCTACAGAGCCAGCGCCACAATTTTGGCAATGAAGCCATGCAAGAACATTCAAAAAGAACGTGGCAGTTGATCAGCAAGAGCAACAACCAAACAGAAGAACATGACTCAATAACTAGATCCAAACACATTATTACAGTCGACCAACACAGACGAACATGATCTGCAAGAATTCAGAAGATCCAAACGCATAGCAGTTGGTCTTCAAGAACAAACAAATTCTTCTGTAAAAGCAAGACTCACTGTGCTCAAGAACAGTTACACTTTGATCAAGCAAGCAACACACAATGTTTGCAAGAATGTTTGCAAGAAAGAACATCAAGAAAGGCATCAACTGTGGTTGAACTTCACCGCAAGAAAAACATGCCCACTAGATTGTGTTATAGGACAGATCATGGTGCTTCCATGCAAGAAAATGAAAGAGAGCTATATATGGCCGTATTGTATTTGATGCATCAGTTTAAAGACTTCCTTCTGGTTTTGTTTTCAGTGCAGTGCTGCAGTGCTGACATCGGATGCATCTCTTTTCACGCGCTCATCTCATCATATCGTACTTATGCTTCTCCATGGACAACGTGCCAACATCAACGTTTCTGATGTAGCAAAAACAGTCCACGGCCGGTCATCCGGGCTGTTATTGGTATTCCCTGACTAGAGGGTCCACATATGAATTACTACATTCAAGAAAATCAAAAAGACCTCCATCAATGCTCGCTTCAATCCTTAGGTTGACAACGCAAGAACAAACACAAGAACTCACAAGAACACAAAGCACAAGAACCCGCAAGAACTGTCTGAAAAAGTGCAATGAATCACATATATTGTCAAGAACTCAAGAACACATCAAGAACAGTTCATCAACAGTATTATCAAGAACATATTGCAATAAGCAAAAATGCAAGAGAAGTGCATGATTAAACTACAGATCAAAAACAGATCAAGATGCACATCCACAGCTTGGATGATCTGGCGATGACTCCTCCTCACCACGCTCATGCGGAGAGCCATCTGAACCAGCATACTCTGTCTCACCACCGGAGACAGGGCCCTGCATGGCCTCTCGCGGACGGAGCCACTCGGTGGGAGGTCGCGGGCCAAGCTCTCCCCACCGATTCATCGAAGCCACCGAAGCCACCTTCGGAACAGCTTTCACAGCAGGAGGAGCAACCGCTGGCGCAACTTCTGGCACAACCGATGCTGATGGCTTGGCCATGAATCTCGGTGCCATGCTCGGCTTTGGTCTCGATGTCACGGAGGATGTGGGCGTCGGTACCGGAGGTTGTACCACATATTTGCCAACTGGATGATGCTCCGTGCCAACTGTAGTGGATACGAACATCTGTCGTGGAGGCTCCGGTGGAAATGGATAACCATGAGCTTGCGGCGTCGACGCCGAAGGGTGCTTTGATCGGCTTCCATGTTTGGTCGCAGGATCGTAGCGTGGAGGTGCTGGACCGGCAATGTTGACTTTCAAAGCCCTCTTCGTAAGACCTGTAATGGTCTTGCCGCGAAGTGCAAGCTGGATCGCCACTGAATCAGCAGCGGAGCTCAGGTTGAAAAAGGTATACATCTGGTCTGATGACCCCTGACCTGAGGCAAGAACATGATCGGCAAGACGCATCTCAAGCGCAAGAACTGACAAGAACACCAGGTGGCAAGAACAAAACATGTGGCAAGAGCTACAGGCGGCAAGAACAGGATATCCCCTTTGAGTGGCGCCTGTCAAGAACATGCAGCATCTCAGTTACAAAAAAAATATCTCAAGAACATCACAAGTGCAAAGAAGCTGAATCTCTTGAATCACAGATGTTATATCAAAGCATCACCATGTCAACTGCAACAAACTCTAGCAACACAAGTGGCAAGAACATGGTGATATGTTCATCTCAAGAACATCACAGGTGGCAAGATCACGAAGCCTCTTTTAACGTCAAGCGTCTACCAATCTTGATATCATTCGGAATCGGCAAATCGTTGGCCGCCAAATAGTCATAGATCTCCTCAGTGGGTACATAAACAAATCGACTGTGGAGGAACTATTATGTTCAGAAAGAACTATGTTAAGCAAGAACATCGCAAGATTGACTGTGCAAAAGAACGCAGTTTCAAAATATATCTCCACTGTACTTGACTAGAATCTTGCCGGGTGATACCCATCTTCCATCCACCAATATACAAGCGCTGAGGCTCAGCAGCCATTGCAAGAACAACAACTAGTAGAGGAAGCACACTAAACTCAAAAACCAAAACAAAGTATACATGTGCAAAATGTGAAAATGTACACATGGACTGTGCATTTGCAGCGCTTGGGCATTCAAATCTTGCAGTATTTCAATACATCCAAGCAAGAATCTTCAAAGCTGATTCCAAATGGTAAACTCAAGAACATCTCAAACGCACAGCTCAAATCTAGCAGCATTGCAAACACTTCACAGCAAGAAAGCAAGACATCAAAAACACATGTTTGCAAG